GTATTAAGCAGAACAAGTTATCAGCACCAAAGCATACACGTTACAAATAATAAATTCTAGCTGGTGTTTTAATTGCTGATTTATCAAGCATAGACAATTTACTGCTTCCACTTAACCAGATCCCTCATTTATAGTGCATATTTCAAGGTAGACTATAGATAAAGCTAGCAAATAGCTGGAGTAGTCTGCAATTCCAGTGGAGTAATGAATACGTCATATATAATACTTTATGAATGAATAATACTAAAACCAATAACAAAACAAATATATAAATTAACACTAAAATTTTCTAAAGACTCAAGGTGTTACCATTACCAACAATGTCTTAAATTTCTAAAAAATCTTGCAGCCAATCAACTCCCTCTGGTGATCAGAAATAAAAAAAATAACAAAGCCTTTAGATTATTTTTCATTTGCATAATTTAGATATATTTGTGATTTGCTTTTGCCACGTTTTATTGACATCTGATTAAACACAATCAGCTAATATTTGGGCTTTCTGTTCATTGAACAATTCAACAGATTCAAACCATTAGATCTATTTACATGGCCATGGGTATGGCTCATTGTTTTGGTTTAATTTGCATAATGAGTATGGGTGTGACTCAGCAATGAGGAAGGTTACTACATTTTTATTCTTTCCTTCTTTTCATTAGGACTAGCTAGTCATAAGCGAATAGCTTAATCATAAAAATAGAGCATTTAGTATTTATCTATATTAAATTAAATATGCATTATTTTTCAGTATTGCTATAAAACCAGTTATTGTATATTAAGTAAAGAAAACTAAGGATAAAGTGTACAGTTTACATACACTTATGCATGATGTTTTACCATACTGTCCTTTTCTGTTAATAGATCTACATAATTATTATTAATTCAACAAGCTGTTTTACCTTTATTTAAAAAAACAAAAACACACTTAATAGCATTATTCATTATCACTATTATCATTATAAACAAATCTGAAATACAGTGTAGGGTGGGTTACAGAAAAATATAATAAAACAGTATTAATGATTAGCTCTTAATCCCCCTATACAATCATATGCAACATTTATTTGCAATCCTCCAGCAGCAGATCCTGATACATATTGTACTTTTTCTGGTATTGTCTCATACACTACGTTAGCCTGTGTTACATTGTCATAAGCTTCATTAAATGTTGTCTTGCACTGTATTCCTTCTTTTACCATAAATCGATTTGTTACTGGTGTATGACAAGGAGTAGCATTGCCATCTTTCTTGATACCATGAACTATTAATATAAAGGTAATTATGGCAGCATTATTTATAATTTACTTGCAATACTTCTTTTTCTTTTTTTAGCTACACATAGACCCACAGAAATTATCACTACAATTGTTATCATTATCATCATAAATGCAGCACTTCCAGTCAATGCTACTATCAGGACTGGTGGACCACTTGTTGCCATGGAGATATTGTCATCATAGCTTGATGAAGTTATCAAAAGAGGAGAAGGAATGAAACTGGTCCAACTATTTTCTAATGTATAAACAAAAGAAAAATTAAAGTAAACATACATGTTCACATGCAAACATGAATGTACATTACCATTAGTAGTTGTCATTGATCTTGATGGAATCTTAAATGATATAATAGATCTAGTCGTCATTGATGTTGTAGAAGGTATCACAAACATTGTATTATTAATAGTTATTAGCAATAATATGTCAATAGCAGTATTATTAAATGTTCCTTCTTCATAGCTTAGTGCATCCAATACTGATATACTATATACTCCATTAGGCAATGTACTAATACAACCACTAGCTGAATCTGCTGGTGGTTTCATTATTTTGTAATACATTAATCGTGAATCTCCTCCTGTTGTGTTGATAGGATGGAATACTGCATAGCAACCAGCTGATGGGGAATTGTGTCTAAAAATACATTCCAGGCAAACTGTTGTATCATTAACTGTTGTTATAGCAGCTGCAATAACGTGATATGTGCCTAAAGAGAGAAAGGGAGAGGGAGGGAATGGTAAAAAGGAGAGTAATAATGCAAAAAATTCAGTAGTATCTTGTACCTACTTATATTGAAAATGAAATCTTCTGTTTTGATATTGTTGGCATTAAATAGTGACATATTAATGACATAATTAGCACCATATCCCAACACTTCTGTTATATTAATAGTAACATTGACATTATTGTCAATATCTGCAGTAGTAATGGTGCAGTTGTTGGCAACAGGAGATACCAATGAACAGTAATGGTCTTTTTCTTGATTTATTGTTAGTGAAACTGATTGTGGTACTGTTCCTTTACAAGATGTATTGTACTAAACAATGAAAATTGCATTGTGTTCAATGTGGTGTCTTTTAGCAAACCTGAACTTCATAATAAACATGTAGTGTTTCACTATTGCTTTTGTACTCTTGTATAAGCTGTGGCATTGTTATAGCTGGAACTAGAATTTGTAATGAGGCGAAAGTAGTCTGTTACAATTTCTTACCTTGATGAATGACAATATCTGATAGTGTGGTAGCATTGCCCATGCCAACAATATTCCATGGTGTTATACTAATATTGTAACTGATGCAATATTCACTAATATGCAAATGGAATTGCGTATCAGTGATGTTAACTGATAAATTAGTAGGCAATATTAGTATATTATAATAAAGTATAGGTATTCCAGCTAATGTAAATGGTGCCAAATATTGTAATATTAATGTTGTGCTGTTAAATTGTGTTATTGCTACATTGGCAACTCCTGACAACAAACCTATCAATGTAAATGGATTGTTTTTATAAATGTTATTCAGTGAAAAATAACGATTTGGGAAAACTTACTAAATACTAAATTTCCATCAATCTATAAAAACAATATGTTTGTTTCAGTGCTACTTACCTTGTACTAAAAGTTTTGCAGCAGATGTACTTTGTGAAGATTCGTTATAAGCAACACATTCTATAGTTGATCCATTGAGTTGAACTGATGCTGGCATTGTTAAAGTGTATGATCTATTATTGCCATTATTAGAGGACATAGTAGATCTGACTCCTTTGTTATAATTAACTTGATAGTTAGCAGAGACACCATTTACTAGCCAAAACTGCCCTACACAATAATGACATGTGCAGTTAAACTCTGCAGTTGAGCCTAGACTTGCATTGACAGAAAATGGTGGAGAAATAATGATCAACTCTAAGAGAAAAAAGTAACGCTAATAGTGTCTTATACAAAAATGTTACCAGTGTTTTCATAAATTGCAGCAGAAGAGAGGAACAGTAGCAGCAGAAACAGCATCTTGAAAAATAATTACTTAATTGTTATTCATAGATCTATTAAAATGGGTGGTGCTAGACTAGGGAATTTGCACTAAATCTTGGCACTTCAAAGAGACTGCATGATGGCAGTTCAAGTTTATCCAACCGAGGAGGCAGGAGGGATAAGACATATTAGGCATGACTTCAGAATACCACAGGACTCCTTCTTGGAGCTTGCTGATTTAGGAGACCCTGCTACCCCCACTCCAACAACAAGTGAGAAATTATGAATGCAGTGCTTATCTTTATTGAAGCATTGGGTGATAAATATGTATTCACACACAGGTATTATAGTGTATTATTGCTCTATTTTTACACAGAGCAATCTTCTGTTCCTTTACCAGAGGAAATATTCTCAATAAATGAGTCTGACCAGCTCCTTTTTTACTTTAAGTGGCTGACCAAGCAAACGTCTGTCAAAGACATTGACTTTGCATACATTAATAATCTGCTGGAGAGTAATGCTGACATAAAAGCAAGAGACAGTTAAGTTTCTATAAAGATAGATCATCTACTCTTGATAATGTATACACTACAGGCTCCTGGTGTAAAAATTATGACATTAGCACTAGCAAAATTGATAGCAACTAATGAAATACCTGCATATGTGACAATAATTTTACAGAAAATTTGCTACTAACTTATTCCATTCCTTTCACAGATGAGACACTATCAACAGTACTGCATTACATTGCTGCTAGCTGGGATTGCTCTGTGGCTGAGATTGCAATAAATCATGGTTGTGATCCAAATGCTCTTGATTTCAAGGATAGGACTCCATTACACATTGCAGCATACTTCAATCACACGGACATGATTGAGTATCTAATATCAAATGGAGGTAATGATAAATGATGCCTTGCATTAATTCACTTTTATTTTGAACTTTTTGCAGCTGATTTGAATTTGAGATCTAAGGAAGGTCAAACTGCAGTACATTATGCTGTCAGGGCTTCATCAATAGATGCACTTCGTTTACTTATAATAAAATACAATGGTACATACTATGATTTTGTTCTTACTAATATTCTTATTTTTAGCTCCTTATGATAAAGACTGTGTAGACAATGAAGGCAGGACCCCGTTGCATTTGGGAGCTGATTTAGATCGAACTGAAGCCGTTCATTTCCTCATTACTCTAAAAGCAAGACCTCCTTCACGCTGCGACGTATATGATATAAATGGGTTTCCGGCACTGACTAGCATGATCATTCATATGCCTCAGACAGTAAGATATAGAACAGTCTTCATGCTATCATTAATCTAATCACAATGTACTTTGTATTACAGGCACTGTTGGCATTGGATCAGCTTCATCAAGTGTTCTCTGATGAAAGAAGGCAGGAATATTACTTGAATAGAATTGAATCGCAGCGCTGTAAAACCAAGACACCAGTAAGTTATATGAGTCACTTCCATTATGCTGCACACTCTTATAGTTTGAGGCTATTCTAATAGCAAACTATCCTGATCTGTTGACCCATCCAGTCATGCTTAAGCTAACAGAAGCAAAATGGCACAGACTATCAAGGTACATGGATCATATGCATCTACAATGGGCCAATACACAATTACTTAGAGCAACATTTATGATTTTTAGGTGGTATTTTATTCTCTCCCTTGCTATCCACACCCTACTCCTAATAGTAAGTCTTAGTATGATAATACTAATATAGTGACTGTATTTTATTTAATTCAAAGGTTTGGAGTGTGCTTATAGGCTATCCTCCAATTCAGGAGAAGCACATCTATAGACTTCCACAAGACATTTGGAGGATCATATTAGCAGTAGCTATGATGAATCTTTTATTGATTTTTATGTCTATTTTTTAGTTTTTAGGCATGATTCTGCTTGTACTTCTAATTGTAGATGAGATTAGAAAATTTATTAACTCTTACAAGAAAAACAAAGTAATGTTTCATATTATAACATAGGCATAAGGCCACCACAAATGCAATTCCAACCTAAAAATATTTGTTGTGTAGAAAAGTTTCAGCTGATTTTAATCAAATTAAGATGTTTTATGAATTTTTAAAGTTGCTCCAAAATTGGGCCAAAGTCCTTGTACAGGGCATTTTGTCAAAGAATGGCTTGGAGAGAATTTTGTACATATATGTTGTGATACTTTTCAAATGTGCATACAATAGAAATTCAAGGAACTATTAGTTAGGAAGCTCAACATTGATTACTCTAACTGTGAGGGCCCACAATTTGAAGAAGTGAGTCCTTTCATCTCTAATTCTTGTTTAACATAATATTTTATAAAGGAGCGTTACTTTATCAAAGAGAAGTGTATCGCTCTTAAGAAACTGAAAGCTGAATACTTCCGAGATAAATGGTATAAGAAATTAATATTTATATTAGATTAACATCTTGTGTAGGAATATAATTGATGTGCTTGGTCTTAGCCTTTTGTCGATTGTCTCCATACTTCATATCATTGATGTCATCAGTCACTCACCTTCTCTATCACAATGGATTGCAAGGTAGCCAGTCTAATATATACGCTATGCCAGGCTATATGCATGTAGACTCTATGTGTACATTACTTCTCTTGTTTAATGCATATAGAATTGCTAGCATTGGGCTTATATTGATTTGGGTGAAATTAATGGTCTATGCCAGAGCCTCAACAACACTTGGTAAGTTCACTAAGCACCTTGACTTCATTTTTCATAACATTATTTATATTTAATGATATTCTAGGGCCAATGGTTGCAATTCTGTCTCACATTGCAGGAAAAGTTGTGCAGTATTACTCTATATACTTGATAATATACTTGCCTTTTGGTAAGGACAAGAGAGGGAGAGAGAGAGAGAGAGAGAAAGGAATAATGCTTTTTTCTATTATAATATAGTCATTTCTTTTTGGCTATTGTTTGGTGGACCACAGCAGTCATTGGCTAATGTCACAGCTCCGTCAGAAGAACTGACTTATTTGTATAGAATGTTTGTGGTGTTGTTTAGAATGTCAATAATTGATGACTATCCTTATCAGGTATACTTATAATTATGCATATACACACCATGCGCCAAGCATGGTTGATACATGTATATATATGCTCTGTAATTATTATGTACATGCATGCAGGCTATAAGAGATGCAGATGAGTTGAGTGCTACAATACTGACTTGCACATTCCTGCTACTAATGTCCATCATTGCTCTCAATCTATTCATTGCTATACTTTCTGATACTTTTCAAAGGTGAGTGTAAATTAGAAAAGGTCACACCTCGCTTGCCATGAAATGAAATAGATAAAGGTGGCAAAATATTTCAAGAGCTATTAAACGGATGTGATATTTATTTCACACTTAATGACATTTAACACAAATATACCTATCATGAAAATCTCATAGAACAATATAATTAAGATCTCAATTCTTTCATTGCCATATTTCATTTGCTTTTCATTATAGGGTATATGACAATGCTCATGCTAATGCTCAGTACCAGAAAGCTAATCTCATAATGCTAATGGAGGACAAGGCTTATCACAGGTGCCGTGAGAGCTTCTTGCAGCATATCAGCAAGAAGTGTGCACCAACTGTTAATTATTATGACGACGACGATGATGTGTTTGATGAAGGGAAGAAGACATTTGCTAAACTGGCACAAGAAACAAATGTAAGAAAAAGCTGTTTTCTAAATAGAAGCATGCATAGCAATGTATTTTGATTTTAAGGAAATCGTTCAAGATCTTAATAAGATGCTCCTTACACAAAAGAAAGAGATAAGTGATCTTCAGGCCACAGTAAAATCAATGAACTCAAAACTAGCTACAAAGACTGAAGCCCCAGGTATATAGATCTATACCTTGCAAATAACATAGCACAATGAATGATGAACATTTTACTATGTTGTATGTGTGTTTTAGGGACCATAAATCCATATCTTAGAAATATAAGAGGACCTGTTGCTCCTCCTCCTCAACCAGTCAATAAAACTACTCGGAGGATTAATAGAAGAGCATCTATTTTTGCTTCAAGACGCTCGCAGTATGGCTCCTCAAAATCAAATTCACAGCCGTCCAAAAATACTGGAGCAACTGAAAAGCGTGATTCTAAAGGAGTGGTAGGTGGACAGAAGAAAAAGACAAAAGAAAGAGAATGATAACTGGCAAGATTTATCATTTCAGCATGGTATGCATGAAGTTTCTAGTATTTAAAAACTAAACAATAAAACTTTAGCATATTCTACAGTATTCATTTTGCTATAGATTTAAACACACATAGATTTAAACACACCTTGAAACTGAAAGAAAGCCCCAGCTAGTTTCTGCAGAGTATGTGTAGTTTAGACATTACATTGTGTAGTGTAGTACATATTAGTATGTGTGGTGTAGTACATTAATTACATTCAATGCTCCACACTGTAGTTTGACAGTTATTGTAGACAACATTGCTGCTGAGTCATTAAAGCTTAAAATTGAAATTCATTCAACAAAAATAAAAAACACAATTTCTACTCAATGTCATTGTTTAATTATTCAAAGCTCATTGAATCTTTGGGTAGAGTGTAATGATCAGTGACAGATCTCATCCCTGTATCACCAGAGCTTGATCTTTTGCTTTTAGCTATGCATATGTGAACAGTAACTACAATTCCAACACAGCAGCCCCACAAAGGCTCTGTCACACCGTGCAATATGAACAAAGGGAATATTGGCTTATCATCAATAATGGAGTATACCCTGTTTGAGAATGGAAAGATATACAGGAAGATTGATACAACAGGATATACAGATAAAGGTAGAATCATTCTTAAGAGCTGCTTTTGCTTGCGATTCTCTCCTAACAGTAGTTGCTCCTCGCTGACATTATTACGTCTGATTCTCTTCAGCAATACAATGACAGTTGCAGTAATGAGTATAGCATCAATTAGAAAGAAGACAGTAGCAGGTGCATAGAAAAGAGCGTACTGCTCGATGGTGCCTAAAAGAATTTTCTTGTTAGCACACTCACCTTCCCAATTCTTGATCCAGCACCATGCACCCGATATGCCATACAGGTCATTAGCAAATGGTATCCAGGAGAACAGCATTGGTATGCCAAAGGAGGTTAGAATGTACAAGGGCTCTAGCTTCTTCACATCTTTTGGCTGCTTGAGGTACACCAGGCATATGAAAAGCAGCAGGGACAGCCAAAACGTGAATCCAATTTTTGTCCACAAGGAGACTGTGTTAAAATAGGCTGCCATGGCACAAAATGGTTGATAGACATCTGGATTCTTGTGATAGTTGACAAAGATTATGTCAAATGCGCAGATAAGAGAGACAGCCAGTGCTGCTATGAGCTGGTACAATACAAGCCTCTGGACTATGTCCTGATAAAACCTGTAGCGAACCGCCACAATGAGAGCAAAGACACAGCACAAGGTAGATATTACACCAACTCCTCCATATATGTAGAGCAGTATGGCTTTTTGTTGATTTGAGAATTGAGCTTGGCTGCTGTTGCAGGGTGAGTCATCTTCCATCTCTCTCAAGAGCAATTGGGTTGGGTCAATTTTAAATTTTATATGTAATTTTCAGACTTAGAGTACAACACAAAAATAACTATTATAAGTGTCATAAGAAGTACATAAATAATCATAAATATAATAGTTTTGAAATTTGTGGCATAATAATGTAGAGTTTTATTACCACCCCCTATACTTGTTACTGCTATATCTCTTACGGCTGTATTCATCATCATCATCAGAGGTACCAAAGCCACGACGGAGACCATGCGAATCATAATTATCACCTGTACGATTAATTCTGGATTGTGAAGGATAGCCAAAGGCTCCACCACTACGACTGGAAAGTAGGAGATCAAACCAATCATAGTGTCTAACTTGACGATTAACTCTGGATCGTGTTGGATACCCACTATGGCCAAAGACTCCACCACTATGAATAGGTGGCAAATGAAGTGATGATTCGTGGCCACTAACTTTACTACTGACTCTAGATGACAAGAGATATCCACTGGAACCATAGCCAGAGGCTCTACCCATATATGACAAAGGATGGGGTGCAATTCCACTAGAATCAGAGATACCAGTACATGGGACTATATCCTTGGGACGTGGTTTCCCTTGTTCACAGGCAAACGATATCTTCCAAAAATCAAAGCAAAGCGAAGGATCCTCAATAAATTCATATGGCATGTAGAAATATCCATTATCTCCCCACATTGGACCCCAGCTGTTGAGCACCTTGACACACCTCTTGGAGTCATCATAACCAACAGCAAGAACAGCATGTCTCCCATGAGACCTTTCATACATGCTTGGCATTTCCATATATCCATTCCAGGAAATATTATGAAAGCTATCATAGACTGTAAATCCAAAAACAAATGGACAGTTGTCCTTTAAGCAAGCTCTGAACTGGTTAATGTCTTGATCAAGTCTCTCATACACACACAAGTTGTTACCAACAGCAGCAGCATAACATGACTGAGGTGGCTTCTCCTTAAACCTGCTTACTGTGTAAGGCCAGTCAGATTCCTTACAAACACCTCTGCAGTTCATAGATTTGACAGCATCACGAATTGATGCTCCAATATTCTTGAATTGAGTACCTTCATGTTCTCGTGTGTTATAATAGAGAAAAAGGCGTGAAGGATTAAAGTAGTAATATCCTCCCTCAGTGTTTTGAGACTGCTTCACCAAATCCATTCCATAAGCAGCACAAAGAGCATTGGCAGTACAGCTTTCCAGCTTCCCTTGATCATAGACATGATGGACATAGCCACTGAAGTCAACATTAGGATGAGTCCTCATAGAAGGAATCTGATGTTCTTCATACTTTTTCCAATAGTCTCTCTCGTCACGTTTATCACGCTTGGCTCCATAGTAGCGAACAACTGCCATTTCTAAGAAGGTTAAAAGTGACAGCACTGCATTATATTGTGTAATGATGTGCTCAGTTCAACAATGAGCATTAAATATAATTAGAATGAAGTCAGAAATTCCCACTTCATGCATAATGCAAATATTCTAAATATAGTATAATGTCCACCATGACATCATCATAAGACTAACTCCATTTTTTTGCAAATTTTTAAAACATTATAATGCCCCAAAATAATAAGAACTCACTGAGTTCATATATATTGATCCATTGCAGTAGAGGAGGACAGTGTCCTCGGAGGACCTCAGTCTTGCAAGCCAGACCATTCCCAACCTACAGTTTGATAATGAAAAGCAAAGCTGGGACAGCCAAAAACCCAATTTTTGTCCATAGGGAGAGTCTGAGAGACTGTGTTAAAATAGATTGCCATGGCACAGAATGGTTGATAGGCCTCTGGGTTCTTGTGATAGTTGACAAAGATTATGTCAAATGCGCGGATAAGAGAGACAGCCAGTGCTGCTATGTACAATACAAGCCTCTGGACTATGTCCTGATAAAACCTGTAGCGAGCCGCCAAAATAAGAGCAAAGACACAAGACAAGGCAGAGATTACACCAACTCCTCCATACAACTAGAGCAGTATTGCTTTTCGTAATTTTGTTGATTTGTGAATTGAGCTTGGCTGCTGTTGCAGGGTGAGTCCATCTTTCAGGAGCAATTGGGTTGGGCCAAATTTAATAACAATTAAAATGAAACTGAAATTTATAATTACATAAACGTGAATTAAAGAAATAACAATTAAAATGAAATTTGTAATTAAAATTAAATCACAATGTGTGAATTTGTTCCATTATGTAGAGTTTACCTAGTTTGGCAAGCCAGACTAGAGTTTACCACTTTCTCCCACGGCCACTGCTATGACTGGATGGTGGAGGATACCCACCATAGCCAGAAGCTCCACTGCTATGGCTAGAAGATGGTGGGGGAGTTGGTTGATAATGACTAGGTGGTGGTGGATATCCACCATATCCAAAGGCTCCACCACTTGATAGCATACCAGTAAATGACGGAGGATGCCAACCATAGTCACTAGCTCTGCTATTAACTCTGGATGGTGGGGGATATCCACCATAGTCAGAGGCTCTACCACTAGATGGCGGGGGGTGGTATAGATCTAATTGGGATTCAATCCCACTAGAAGTGGAGCAATCAGTACATGGGACTGTATCCTTGGGACGTGGTTTCCCTCGTTCACAAGCAAATGATATCTTCCAGAAATCAAAGCAGAGAGAAGAGTTCTCAATGAATTGATATGGCATGTAGAAATAACCATTATCTCCCCACCTTGAACCCCAGCTGTTGAGTAGCTTAAAATATCTCTTCGAGTCATCATAACCAACTGCAACAACAGCATGTTTCCCAAGAGGCTCACCAAGTTGCTCCCTTATACTTGGCAAGGGCATGTATCCCGCAGTCTTAGTATCATCAAAGCTCCCATAAACATTAAATCCAAATACAAATGGGCAGTTGTCCTTTAAGCAAGCTCTGAACTGGTCAATGTCCTGATCAAGTCTCTCATACTTACACAAGTTGTTACCAACAGCAGCAGCATAGGCTGACTGAGGTGGCTTCTCCTTAAACCTCTTTACTATGTAAGGCCAGTCAGATTCCTTGCAAACACCATTGCAGTTCATGGCTTTAAGAGCCTCACGAATTGATGCTCCACTATCCTTCAATCGGTTGCCTTCACGTTCTCGAGTGTTATAATAGAGAAAAAGGCGTGAAGGATCAAAGTAAGAAAACCCTCCTTTAGTAGTTTTAGACTGCTTCACCAAATCCAGTCCATAGGCAGCACAAAGAGCATTGGCAGTACAGCTCCCCAGATCCTTTTGATCATAGACATGATGGACATAGCCACTGAGGTCAACATTAGGATGAGTCCACATAAAGGGAATCTCATGTTTATGATACTTTTTCCCATAGTCCCTGTCATCAGGTTTATCAGGCTTGGCTCCATAGTAGTAGCGAACAACTGCCATTTCTATTTTCTGAGAAAGTCAAAAGTCAAGAGAATAACTGCAACTCTATATAAATAATGTTGAAATAAAAGGTGCAATCCCCAGGAATTCCCCCTTCATGCATTTGCAGCATATTTACTGTTTACAAATTCCAGCAGTGTAAGAGTGTTTGTCTAAATATAGCTACATGTTCATTACATCATTATATAAAAGTGATTCTGTTTCATTTGCTAAAAGATTTTAAAACTTTGAAATGCCACTTATGTTATGATGTGAATTATGAATTTACTTGAGTTAGTAGATATAGCTCTATCTACTTTATGTATTGAGATCTGTGCTAAAATAATTCAAATCAGAAAAGCGTTTCTGAATATTAAAAAAGTATTCTAGTAGTCTACCACACTTGGTCTACCATAATTTTCCATGAAATGAGAGCTCACATCATATATTTGGAGTAATTCAATGGGTTGGGTCAAATTCTAAAAACCATGCATGCTAGTCAAAAACGACATGAACAACACAAAGTGCCATGAATAGTACATGATAAAACAATTAAAATGACATTTATAATCAAAATTATATTACAATTGTGCATGAATTCGTTCCATTATGTATAGAGTTTACTATCTTCCACGGCCGTATTCATCGCATCAGAACCATAGGCTCCACTGGTATGATTGGGTGGTGGGGGAAGACTAGAAGATGGTGAGGGAATCACTTGACAATGTCCAGGTCCACTAGTGCTACTATTAGGTAGGGGATATTCAACATATCCAGAAGGTTCACCACTCAACACTGTACCACCGAATGAGGGAGGATACCAAACATAGGCTCCACCACTATGATATGGCGGGTGGTATAACTGGGATTTAATCCCACAAGAACCAGAGGAATCAGTACATGGGACTGTATCATCGGGACGTGGTTTCCCTCGTTCACAGGCAAATGTTATCTTCCAGAAATCAAAGCAGAAAAAAGAATTTTCAATGAATTGATATGGCATGTAGAAATACCCCTTATCTCCCCAATCAGAACCCCAGCTATTGAGCACCTTCATATGCTGTTTGGTGTCGTTATAACCAACAGCAACAACAGCATGATATCCGAAGAGGCTTATTATCTCTTTCCTGTGCTCTGGGCATCTGCATAGTATATTTAGGTTCAGAAATAAAGCTATCATAGACTTTAAAGCCAAATACAAATGGGCAGTTGTCCTTTAAGCAAGCTCTGAGCTGGTCAATGTTGTGATCAAGTCTCTCGTACTTACACAAGTTGTTACCAACAGCAGCAGCATAACATGACTGAGGTGGCTTCTCCTTAAACCTTGATTCTAAGTAAGGCCAGTCATACTCGTTGCAAACACCTTTGCAGTTCATGGCTTTGAGAGCCTCACGAATTGATGCTCCAGTGTTGTTCAATTCATTTCCTTCACGTTCTCGAGTGTTATAATAGAGAAAAAGGCGTGATGGGTCAAAGTAGTAATATCCTCCTGCAATAGTTTGAGACTGTTTCATCAAATCTATTCCATATGCAGCACAAAGAGCATTGGCAGTACAGCTTCCCAGTTCCCCTTGATGATAGACATGATGCACATAGCCACTGAGGTCAACATTAGGATGAGTTCTCATAGAGGGAATCTCATGTTTATGATACTTTTTCTTGTAGTCCCTGTCATCAGGTTTATCAGGCTTAGCTCCACAGTAGTGAACAACTGCCATTCTAAGAAGATCAAAAGTTAGAGAGCTGAGAGTAACTGTAATGGTGTCTTGTTTGCACTCAATTATAAACAATTTTGAAGGTGGAATCCCCAGGAATTCCCCTTTCAATGCATCACTGCATTAGCAGCATGTTTATAAAAATAATCAGATGTTTTGTCTAAATATAGTTACATGTTCATTACATCACTATAATTCTATTTTATTTGCTGGAAAATTTTAAAACTACTTTTAACACATTATGACTAAAGTGATGTGAATTATGAACTCACTTCAGTATTCAGTTCGTAGATATAAATATATCTACTTATGTACTGAGATCTGTACTGAAATAATTCAAACGCTTCTGGATGCACAGTACCATAAGTTTGCATGAATTAATAGTGCAAAGCAAGAGGAAATAAATTATACTTGCATTAATAATGAGTTAACTCAGAAAACACCCATTGCAGCAGAGCACTTGGCAGAGCAGGAGACTACTTTTATTTGTTGCATACTCTTGCTGCATAACTAATATTGAGCCCATTAGGTATTAAAAAGCAAATATAGAGGCTATTATAATTACAGTAGGTCTAAAGGACTGTAATTTTAAAGAAGTAGCAGGTGGACAGAAGAAAAAGACAAAGAAAGAGAATGATAAATAGTAAAATTTATCATTTCAGCATGGTATGCATGAAGTTTCAAGTAAAACGATAAAAGTTTAGCATATTCTACAGTATTTATTTTGCTAGTAATGGATTTAAAATGTACAATGTACAGAACATTAAATGTTGTGCACTGTACAATGTTAGTATATGTACAAGGGCTTTAGCTTCAATCTTTTGATTGCTTGCAGCAGAGACAGCCAAAATGTGAATCCAATTTTCATCCACAGGGAAACAGTGTTAAAATTGGCTGCCATGGCATAGAATGATTAGCCTGCAGGAGCAATTCAATGGGTTCTGTCAATTTCAAATTTAAAAAACAATGGATGTCAAAAGCAACAAAATTTTATTAAAAAATTATAGATCTAAGTGTCATAAAAGTACATAACATTTAATGAAAATGATTTATATGTGTGCCTGTAGTCTACATTACAATTAATAATAATTAGTTATAGTTTTGAGTTTGTTTCATAATGTAGAGTTTACTAGATTCATGAGTGACTTCTGTGTCTCTTACGGCCATATAGATCTAAATCATTGTCATAGGCTCTAGATCTATGATTAACACTGGGTCCTATGGAATATCTCCAGTCATCATCTTCAAAGCCATGTGTGGAATCATACTGGTCATGATAATGATGAAGGTTCCTACTAGGTGTATGACTAACTCTGGATAGTGGAGGATAAGGAGAGGCTCCAACACCATCAAAAGATGAGAAAGGAAGTGGTGGAGGAACCAAACTGCCAGAGGTTTCATTACCGTAAACAAATGCACGGGAAAGTGGAAAATTACATGAACTGTAGCGACTAGCTCCAACAAAATCAGAGGCTTCAGGATGAAATGCATTGCCTAATATACCAACAATATCAGGAAAATGTACGGCATCCTTGGGACATGGCTTCCCTTGTTCAGAAGCAAACGTTATCTTCCAGAAATCAAAGCAGAAAAAACGATTCTCAATGAATTGATATGGCATGTAGAAATACCCATTATCTCCCCAATCAGAACCCCAGCTATTGAGCACCTTTATATGCTGTTTGGTGTCATTATAACCAACAGCAACAACAGCATGTCTCTCAAAAGACCCACCATCTCTTTCATGTGCTTTGGGCATCTGCATAGTATATTTAGGCCCAGAAATATTATGAAAGCTAGCATAAACTTTAAATCCAAAAACAAATGGGCAGTTGTCCTTTAAGCAAGCTCTGAACTGATCAATTTTGTGATCAAGTCTCTCATACTTACACAAGTTATTACCAACAGCAGCAACATAGGCTGAGTGAGGCGGCTTCTGATTAAACTTCCATACCGTATAAGGCCAATCAGACTCCTTGCAAACACCTTTGCCATTCATGGATTCGACCGTGTCACGAATCGATGCTCCACTATCTTTCGATTGGCTGCCTTCACGTTCTCGAGTGTTATAATAGAGAAAAAGACGTGATGGGTCAAAGTAATATCCTGCTGCAATAGTTTGAGACTGCTTCACCAAATCCATTCCATAGGCAGCACAAAGAGCATTGGCAGTACAGCTATGCAAGTTTTCTTGATCATAGACATGATGCACATAATGACTGAGGTCAACATTAGTCCCGCCAGAAGGAATCTCATGTCCTCCATACTTTTTCCTTTTGTCATTGTCGTCAGGTTCATCTGGCTTGGCTCCATAGTAGCGAACAACTGCCATTTCTAACTGAAAGCAGTTAACAAAGTATTACTCAATACGAGACTCACTATAAACTTTAGATTAAGGGGTGGAATCTTCAGGTGGCCCAATTTCCCATTTCATGCATAATTCATTTATAGCATACTAGCATGAATATATGAATAACAATAGATTAGATTGTAATACTTGAGACTTGAGTTGAAGCTTCTCAAAAACATCAATTGCAGCAGAGGAAGAGAATACTGCTAGAAGAGACTATCTGTTGCATATTTTTCTGCATAATATTGAGCCTATTAGGTTTAAAAAGTATATAGAGAGGCTAAGAATGGAATCAATGGAATAAATACTCACAATTCAGAACATAATCTTGAGTAGGAGGAGCTTATAGTGCCAGTAGGCGTGGTAAATTAATATTCATGAGCTCATAGATTGTGTCATTTCCCCTTTGCTGAGTTTTATACGCCACGCAAACAACACACACAAAACACAGTCACTGTACAACTCTCAGCAGTTTTATCCTCTCCCTTACTCTCTCTCCCACCACTACATCGACTCGAGGGAAACACACAATGTCCACGCCAGCCAGAAGAAGACTAATGAGAGATTTCAAAAGGTAAGAGAAAGACAAGACTTTCCCTAACCATCTCTTCTCTATTACAGATTACAAGAAGACCCACCAACAGGAGTATCGGGCGCTCCCACGGATAATAACATTATGCTATGGAACGCTGTCATATTTGGGTAATTGAAAGAATATTTTCACAGATCCATTTCTAAAACTCCTCCCACTTTTCCTCTCAACCACGCCCACTTTAGACCCAAAGATACTCCTTTCGAAGACGGTACTTTTAAACTAACGATGGAATTCACGGAAGAGTACCCTAATAAACCTCCCACGGTTAGATTCGTATCGAAAATGTTTCACCCGAATGGTAATAACCCACATTCAACGACACACACACACACACGTACTTATGTTATACAATGGTGTGACTGTTGATTTGTTCTCTAGTGCTTTTAGATTGTTATTTTCCTGGTACTGTTTCCTTTTTGTTTTCCTAACAATTTACTCTTTATGACCTTCAAACCTTGTCTCCCACAAGCTATCATGGCTGTCATTACTATTATTTCTTCTCCCTCTCTTCCCTCCCTCTCTCTTTCTCTCTCTCTCTCCCTCTAGTATATGCTGATGGCAGCATATGCTTGGATATTTTACAAAATAGGTGGAGTCCAACATACGATGTATCATCAATACTAACGTCTATTCAGGTATGCACACCACATGAAAGTCACATGACTAACAACACTAGCTAGTTATGTGTGTGTAGCTATTATATGTATGGTGTGATGATAATAGAACTTTGTACTCAATATGGGGGGCTTGTTGATGCATATTTTATACAATGAATGTTTTTAATGTCCTTGGGATGCAAGAAATGGCTGGCCACATCAATCGTTGTTGATTATTTATACTCAGCTTATGTAAACAATAAGTATAATAATCGAGATGTTTTTATTTTAGTCATGACAATAATTATGTGACATCATGATTGATCACATGACTCTTAGCTGACTTGTTTAACGAATGACCTACATGTACATGTATTTTATTGCACAAATATTTATTTACTATGTCATTATTTTATTAGTGCATGTTGAGCAATAACCTGACCCCCCGACCTGTGCCAAGTTAACATGTACTCTTTACTATTAGTTTTGATTCTAATTGTTGTCCCACGTATACATGCACATGTACATGGATATTACATAGTTACATGTACGTGATTTATTTTAATTTAATTTATGCACTCAAATAAAGGATGAGTTTAGTCATATGTATAGCAGCTGGCACATGTGTATTCTTGGAATCTTATTAAATGAATGTAAATTATTCAAACTGATCTCTGCTACAAATCTAGCATTAGAGCATTGACCATTGTGCTATGTGTACATGTACATGTACACGTATTATGTATATTAATGTTTTGGATCATTCTTCATAGAGACTAGTCTACAGCGTAATGTATTCAAGTACTGAATGCTATAGTTAATGTGCATGTACATGTATGTGTACCATTATCTGCTATAGACAATTAGATAATATTCTAAAAATGTTCATGTGGAAAGTGAAAAGGTTGCAGGGGGTTCCCTTCCTTATTACCTGTGTTATGACAGGCCAATGACTCATTAAATAGCTCATAACCACACTCGCTCCATGGTGCCAATTTCACAGTAATGTTTACTGACAGAGTGTGGTGTGTGTCTTTGTTTGTCTTCTCCCTTTTGATAGTCTTTGGCTAGCCTCTAAGACCCTTACTACTACTTCTTACCTTCCTCTTCCCCCCTCTCTCTCTTTCTCTCTCTCCCTCCCTCTCTCTCTCTTTCTCCTTCCCTCTCTCTTCCTTTCTCTAGTCTCTACTCGATGAACCCAACCCTAATAGTCCTGCTAACAGTCTAGCAGCTCAACTCTATCAAGAGAACAGGAGAGAGTACGAGAAGAAGGTACAAGCTATTGTAGAGGAGAGCTGGATGAACGTATGACAGCGTCGAGTATATGGCAGGTGGCTGAGACAACCTTTAATGTCAGCAAGAGAGAATGTTATATGTCTAGTACTGTAGAGTAAACTAATCATTATTATTATTATTATTATTATTATTATTATTATGAGAAAGGTAAAAAAGTAAACCAAAGCATTACGCAGCAAGTGTAATGGAGCAAAGAGCAAATAAAATAAACACAAAAAGCACAAAACAATTAATATTGAATTTGTTATACATGTACATGTACGCAATAGTACCGTATAGTTATTTTAGTGAAAAGGAGGATGCTGTGATTTTAAATGAATTACAAGTTATTGCATTATCTTTTCCTTTTCAACTGAAATGACATTATACCATAAACATGTATACACAGTACATATCCTGTAACTCAAGTTATTATGTCTTGCCTTAAGAGCTACTCATCATTAACCTTTGATAGATTATAGAGGAGCCATTACAAGCATTAGCTTTTTAACATTGTACATGTATGTAATGCACTTTTAAATAAATATGAGATATGATTTATGTACCAGTACATTCTTAATGCATGTAGATGTGCATTTAGACTGCAGGTGTAGCTAGGGAAGAGGAAAAGAAAGATCAAGTAGAGTCAGGAGATTGTGAAGAAAGAGGAAGCACTGTAGCATTAAATCACATTATTATCTGATTAAAGGAAGTTGCATGCAATACATGTATGTGTAGTGTACCAAGGAATCTACCCTAAAACAGCCACTGACTTTTCTGTAAACAGACAAAAAATGTACTGACGTATTGTCTCGGAATGTGTGTTGCCATTACAGATCATTAAGTAATGCATACTGTGCCAATTAGCTCACAATAATGAAATAATATAATTATTATTGTTATTGTTATTGTTATTGTAAGTGAGACATTGCAGGCTTTGTTAAAGATGAGAATTGACTTTAATCTAAAACGTGACTATGGCTGTGAAGTGTTCAGAAATGATAGTGGCCCTTGAAAAGGAGGTTAATGTTGTTATTGCATTTGAGACATTACAAGCTTGTTAAAGGTGAGAATTTGACTTTAATCTAAAACGTGACAATGGCCGTGAAGTGTTCAGAAATGACAGTAAACAGAGATAGTGGCTCTTCAAAAGGAGGTGGTAACAGCTGCACCAAGTCTACTAACTAATTGATGTCAATTTACTATAGTAATAATAATAATAATAATAATAATAATAATAATTTTGAGAGGTGGATAAAAAAGTTGGGGATTAAGGTTTGAGTGGAACATCTACAGAAGACAGCTCTATTAGGAACAGCGAGAATATTGAGGAAACATATGAGTGCTGAGAACTAGAACATCTAAGTTTATTTGTTATAAACTGATGAGGAAGTGTCCCAATTATAAATTTAATTGTGTGGTTTATGAAATAATAATAATAATTTATCAACAAACTGTAGTGAGATTAATATCAGGGATTCCACCTGCTTCTACACTAAATTGTATTTATATTTTATAGTGAATGATAATAGAAAAAATTCACAAAATAACATAAACATACAGATACACACAGACATAAGACTATGAGGAAGATAATAATTCAGTTTCAAATAAGACAGGAAAAATGATGAAATTTATAAAATAATAACACTATAATAATAATAATAATAATTAATATAATTATTATAATATAATAATAATAATAATAATATCATGTCTGATCTTCATTGACCATTTCATACGTGTATTCGCTTTCTCTCGTTTTATAAAATAAAATATAAGCCGACTCGTTCGGTAGACTCGTTTGAGAGTCCGTCAGTCCAAAGAACTGCTCAATGGAGTGAGGCTCTATCTCCTGCAATAGAGAGAAGACACTTCAATACTACTACATGTACATGTACATGTACATATACCAGTACATGTACATGTTGATAAATTGGTGCATATTCTTAAGTCACTAACAATTCTACATGGCAAAAAGGCGTAATTTTTATAAGCTCTATTATTATATACATGAGCATGTAAAAATAAAATTTGGGGTGATTTTTGAGCCTTTTTTTGAAAAAAAAACCCGTACAATGTAGCACATTTCATCAAGTTCCTTTACAATTTTTGATCAATTTTTTTACAGTTACACAGCCAAGAATTATCATACTG